TCGTACGCCCGCGGGCGACATACTCCATCTCGACGCGCTCCCTGCCGCCAGCGTTTTTCCGTCTGCCCACGCGGCGCGCGCCGAAATGAGATCGCAGAGCAGAGCAGAGCGCTGCATCGGCGGCAACTCCTTGTCCGCTCCGCTGCCGCCCAGCCGCCACGCACCGCTCCGTTCTCTGCCAGCCTCTGCCCTCGAGCGCTGCGAGGCTCCGCGCGCGGGCGCGCGCATTGCTTCGCCTCCGACAGATGTAGGTTACCATAAAAAATGATTTACGAAATATCTGCGGCGACCCAACGGATATTTACTACATAGGCTCTCGCGGGTCGGGGGTTTTATATAAGGAAGCGGCTGGTATAAATCACTACCGTGTTCAGAGTGTTTTCACCTGTCCGTTCGTTCCTTCGCGGCGCGCCAGCCTCCCGACTTCTCTCGCGACACCGTTTCTTCCTCGAGTTCACCGTCGTCCCGTGCGCCGCCTCGTTCGCGCACAGACCGCCCGGCGCACCGCATAATCCGCCTATTTATACTCCGATTTAAACTGGACATAGAGGAGGACACTATCACCCAATCGGGAGCTTCGTTACGATTTTAATTTCCAGTATTTGAGCTCCCCATTGGATGACAATGCCCCCCTCTCCTTCCAGCTCGTGACCTTGAAATGCCAGTGTGATTTGATTTTATATTCGATTGAATATTTATTTTATTTTAATTTAATTTAATTTTTTTAATTTTATTCAAATGTATATATTATATATACAATGTTGCACTATTCACAATGTTAGATACAACGTGTTAGTTAAGGACATTGTACTTTGCAGAGCTGTTTGCGAACCTTATACTTCGATTTTTTTTCAAGTGGCTAATGACATTACGTCATTGTTACACCTCCTGCTGTCTTTAACTGTATATTTTTAACTGTGGTAAACACATTTCTGAGGCCACGATCCCCGTTGAGAAGGGCGTTTGCGAATTTAATTAAAAAGATCAATTTTATAACGCAGGAGGTGTAGCAACGTCGTAATCTAATCGGCCACTTTTTTAAAAAATCGCAGTTTATTCTGGAGTTGTATTTTAAAAGACCACGCGCGTCTCGGTGCATCCATTAACCGCGCACAGCCTCACAGCCCCGCCAGCGCGCTTGCCAGCCGTCTACTACCGCTCGTCGGGAATTCGTGCTCGATGGGACGAGTTCATGGCATACTCGCAACTCCTTTCATCGCCTCTCTTTAGCCCGCGATTTTGGTTTCCTTCACATTCAACATCCTATTCAAGCCCCGATACGCGGGGGATTCACGTTTTTGTATGTACCGCAGCGGATCATTTATCATTATTATCATCAAGCAGTCGTGTTGCATCGTTACCGCGTTCGTTCTTCTCTATCGTCTTCTCCTGCACAACCTCGGTTCTTATGCGATCCCGCAGTTGCATATAGGGACCATCGTCGTCACCACCAATATTGGACTACCTCTGGGCAAGCTTCGAATAACGCGGTCGACTGCATATTTTTTGGGGGTCTGTGTCCGCTTCTTAAGTTACGCACAACGCCCGTACTTCATTTTGTCGATCAGTTGATACTCGTAGCGTAAAAAAAATTAGATATATTCGAGGTCAAAGCGAAGAAACGGAGGCTGTACAGAAGCGCCTCGCACTAGCTCACGCCCGACCACGCCTTCGGACAGCCGCGATTCGTCACAGTAATGCGCGCGTCGCGCTGCTCCCGTCCCCAGGCGAGAAGATTCACCGCCGGCTCGGATTCAAGCCCTGATAAGTTTTCGGACATCATCGTCGTCGTCGCCGCCGCCGCCGCGGCCGATTCGTCCTGCACAGCGACCCGCTTGTAGTCGCACGACACTTCCAGGAAGCATGGCCGCGCCGAAGGCACCCTTCGCCCTTCTCCGTTTCGCTGCTCGCGTGTTCCCTCGGGAGCTTTCGGTCGCTTCGTAGTAGAAGAAGTAGAAGAATATCCGTTCGATCATTCCTCAGAACATTCACTGATTAAGAAACGTGAATAAATTCATCAATTGTGTCCTAATCTACGATCTACCAGCTGTAAGAGCTGCACTACTATTCAAAGTATTCACAAGTAACTTTGAACTTCGAATATATTGCGTGTGATAGAGAGCTTTGTTTTCACGTAATAACCATCAACATTCGTATGACTTTTTTTTCTGTTCACGGCCTAATTTACCTAATCAGCTCGTCAAATTATCGGGACTTGGAAAAATTTCTTTCTAATCGTCAGTAAGTATCTATTTCGTCTGTGCACTAATTCATTCGTGTTATTCCAACTGATATTCTATTTTTTTTCTGATGAAAATCTTTGAGACGGATTTCAGAACAGTAAAATAGTATATTGTATACAGTTTTGTATATTGACAATTTTCATTGATATTTTAAGAATCGAAGCAACAATTACTGCCTAATCTATATAATCATCTCGCCAAATACTCGTGACACAGAAAATATATAAATGTATTTCTTCATAATAGTCAATATGAATATATTTCGTCTCTGTACTAATTCATTCGCGTTATTCCAACAGCATTCGCGTTATTGCAACTTTTTTTTTCAATGAAAATCATTGAAATGGATTACGGAACAATATATCATTCCTTGTACATTGACATCGTCTATTTCCATAGACATTTTAAAAACCAAACAACACCCACTGCTTATACTACATTATTAGCTCGTCAAATTCTCGCGACACAGAAACACGTTAAATTTATTTCGTAATCGTTAATAAGATTATATTTCGTCACTGTACTAGTTCATTCACGTTATTCCAACTGCTTATTCTCATTTTTCGATGAAAATCTTCGAGATGAACTTCAGTAAATTTTCAATTATTTTCTACCACCAACTATTTCAATCAACACTTTAAAAAGCGCAGCAACAATCAGTGTCTAATGTATCTAATCAGATGGTCCATATTTTCCAAACACAAAATTCGATAAATTTACTTCTTTGAAATCGTCAATATGAATCGTATTTCGTCTCGTTCGCTTTATTTCAACTGCTATTCTCATTTTTCCCCTCGAAGAAAATCATTGAAATGGTTGCGGGACAGTAAACATTTCTTCTATACTGAAATCAACTATTTCCATCGATATTAAAAATAAAACAAAAAACAAAAACAAAAATAACAATCACAGCCTAATCTGAACTCGGACTGCCTTGGCAAACTAAGTTCATATACTAATCGTAGCCACTGCAATCCGTGACAGTCTCCATCAGACCGCGCGAATTCCGTTTCAAACACTCACTCACCCGTGTGCATTCTCTTTCTCTCTGAGAATCTCCTCTTCCAGATCCAATATGCGCCACTTCATAAGGACACTGCGAAAGGGGCGATACACTCCGGTCCGGCCCAACCAGTCCTTCACAATGGCACAGCATGTGGGCGTAAATCTCAAATTGCCCATGCCTCGAACTCATCTCTGCCACTCAACGCATGTTAAAAACTCGCCCTTTGGATCTCATTGTGGCTCTCATTAAGCAGGAGTTAGAAGTTTGCTTAGAATTCGTGACCAAGTACAAATAAAAACGGTGTGAAAATATCTATCATCATTATTCAATTTGCTATGTCGCTAGGGCATTTAAAACATTGGACATTCATTTTAAAAAAAATTTGAGGATAAAATCTACAATTGTAGCAAAGATTTTGTTAAGAAATAACTGATGACTCCAAAGTTCGAGAAATTCACGTAAGAAAAATGCAAACCGAAATTCGCACGTCCACTGCCTTCTTCGAAGTAGACACCTTGAGAATGTTTCCCCATAAGGCCAATCCCTCGGAAAAGTCATTTGGACCATCTCACGAGGAAGCTCACTAAATTATTCGGTTGGTAGGTTTATGCTGTCAGGTTCCCTCGTCCTGAATTGAACGTTATCGTATGTAATGTGCCGAACAGTGCCAATTTCACGCGAATGAAGAATGGGTTGTTGAGCGACATATGAAAAGATGCGTTAAGTGTCCACACTGTGGTTTTCGTGTGTCCTGTGTTTCCTGTGATGCATCGATTGTTCATTCCGATAATAAATGCATACAATTGTACATTAAAACTCACGACAGAAATAATATTCCGACGACCGGGACGATGTAGACCAATAAATTTTCGCGACACGATCATGCGCGTAACGTGTAAGAGAAGTAACGGCGCGCCGTGGCATTTTTCTGCGAAGTGGAAAAGAAAAAAGGAGAAAAAAAAAGAAGAGCAATGCGGTAGGCGGTTGGGGTGGTTAGCACGGCCTGGCTGCTCGCGACGTGGCCGCCGCTGCCGCTTCCTTCTGTCCTTTCCTTTCGCTGCCCTACTTGCGGAGATGCCGCCGCCAGCATCTCTGAAGAAAACAGCAGCAACTACGAACATGTCTCTCTCTCCGCCCCTTCTACCTGCCGTCACGTCACGCTTCAATGTATGTTACACATAGGAAATAGTTTTCGGCCAGTGAACCGGCTGGCTGATCGGGAAGCCTGCTCATCTAGGACACACGTGCGGAAAGCACTTGGCTGCCGCGTTTGAGTTTTATTTGACAATAAAAGCGCCGAGCGGAAGAGAGAAGATCGAGAAGACGACTAATGTAGAACTCGGAGCACACCATGCAGCGCGGTCACTAATGGGAAAGGCATATCTAGGCTCCAGTCTCGAAGGATTACATTCAGTGTAATATTAGGACGAGTCGGTGATCAACTGAGAAGCCTTTATCGTTGAAATAATGTTTTTATAACGAATCCTAAGATACTGCTACTACAATAGCCACTTACGACACTTACAAAGACAGAAAAGGTTCATGCTGTAAACACTCCACACCTCGAAATACGAAATATGAAATACTAAAGAGGTGATTATAAAGATGATCCAGTTCGAAACTTATTACGCAATATTAAATAACACTAAAAAATGTCACAAAGAGTCAGAAGAAAATGCAATACTGAAGGAATGTTAGAATTTTCCCACAGCACAAATAAACGAAGGTGGTGTAGAGAGGAGTCAACTCACCTGTGTGTATTCTCTGATGTGCCTTGAGATGAGAACTTTTGGTATACACCTTCACACAGCCTGGAAAACAAAACAAAAATTACATTTAGTCGAGGCAAGAAGTTGCTCATGATGCGAAAATGCTTTTTTTTTTAGTTGTGATCGTGAAGTACGTAATGGCTATGAAACAAGAGATCGTGCAAAAAGGAACTAGTTATTGTAAAGTGAAAGTCTTCGTACTTACCAGGATAATCGCAATGATGAATTCGCCGCTTCTCCAATTCGGGGTTGTTGCGCCTGTTGTATTTGACGGTAGGGACGGCAGTGGACGGGGCGCTAGTCGGCGTCAAGGTCGGCGCCGACGACGCCAACACAGGTGCGACGACGGCGTGGTGAGAGGGCGCCGGGTAGGGCGGCGGGGGTGTCCTGCGCGGTGGCAAGTTGTTCCCCGGCGACCCCGGCTCTGAAATCGGCGGCGTCGGCGGCGGGACGTACTGCAGCCTCTGTTGCAGCTGTTGCTGATACGAGCTGACCGCGAGCCCGTTATGGAACTTGAAACCCCCGTGGGCAGAGGGCGGCTGGGACGGGGATTGTCCTTGCGGCTGCGTGGCAACCTGCGAAGACGGTTGAGAAGGCGGGGGAAGATGATGGTGGTGGTGGTGATGGTGGTGAAGATGGTTGTGTTGGTGGAACTGAGAGTTGGTGACACTATTGCTGAAGGGAGAAGAGGGAGTCGCCAACAGATGCACCGGCGGCGGCGGTGGGATAGGAGTCGCTAACTTCTCCGTTTTGATGTTCGGAACGTTCAACATTGGAAGACTACTACAAGACATGCTTGACGTAAGGTCATCCGAGATTTCCATCTTGACTTGAGGCGGACCACCACTCGCGAGGGAGCCTAACATGTCAGCGTTCTCGGGGTCGAGTTTCTGAATGCTGGAGGTGATATCCTCCCAGAGGGGCGGTTTCAGAAAAACATCGTCCTCTGGGTGCGATGGGATGGTACGAGGCGACACAAAGCTGGTCATGTTGGTGGTGGTACCTGCTGATCGTTGCACAGAACTGTGGGAGGACAGAGCAGCTGCTGAAGGCACGTCGAAGAATTCGTCGATCTGAGACGCTGACTCTCGCCTGGGTTTAATGTCTATATCTGTTTCTGTGGCGGCAACAGCTTCTTCGAACCGCTGTAACCTCTCCAACTCTTGCTTACAGAAGAGAGCGTCTAATTCACTCGTCTGAAACAAAAAAAGAATACGAGTTCATATAATTTGGTAATTTCAATCATATTATCAGACACAAACAACAACAAATATGGTTAATTATACCATTTCTTTAACTGTCAATTCACTTCTTAAACTATCAATGTATTCTGTTGATCAATTGTATGCAATTATTAAGGCTCCGCCTGCCTCCTGGATTTTCAGACCACTTTTGGAGATTGTTTAGAGTTTTTGAACGAGTCTGTTTGTGTGTGGAATATTTATACCAGAGCAAATTATAATTAACACATCTGCAAATAAAAATATTTGTGGTTTATGGATTTCTTCTTATGGAAATACTTCATTAATACTGATGTGTGAAAGTATAACACTTATCACTGAACCCTGGGGCAAACCGTTTTCTATTTGCAGAGATTTAGAGAGTTTTATTAATTCTAATTCTAATACCCCTGTAATTCAAAAAGTTCTTAATAAATGCAAAGATTTTTGTCATGTTAAGATTATCCAGTTTTTTTATTACTGTTTCCAAACTATTTCATAGGATTTCTCTGCAATTTAACTGCCATTACATGACTGTGTTTATAAAAGATTTGCTTATCTCTGCTTCTAAATTTATTAAATAATTCATTGTTGAATGTGATTCTCTAAAAACAAATTGAAGATGTGCTAACATGTTATGTACCTCCAGGTACTACCATTTAATTCTTTTATTAATAATTTTCTTCGTGATTTTACATAATTGCAGATATGTGATGTGGATCTATAGTTGGGAGGAGAACTTTATACTTTGGTTGGGTTTTAAAATGGGAATCTTAATAGTTTCACTCCATGGATCTGGAAATATCTGTCTTTTCCATATAATAGGTAATTTAGTGCTCTGTTTGAGAGTTGTTATATCATTACATTGTATATACAGTCTGGATCTGAACTAGAATTACCTAACTGAGAGAGTACTATATGTAGTTCTTTTTTTCGGTATTGATGTCGTTTCTATTATCTCCAGTATTATATATGCCATTTTTTACAATTTTATTCTGTTCTTTGTTTTATTTCTCTTAAGGAACATGGCTCTTTAAAAATTTTAGATAGCAGAATTTTCTCTATTTTATTTCAGAATAATTACAAATTAAACTTTTTCGAGGCTTCAACTTTTTCGTTAGTTTTATTTCTGTTAAAAAACAAGTCATTTTAAATTTTTTAGATAGCAGCATTTTTTGTATATTTTATTTCATATCAATTAAAAATTATACTTAAGACTGGAAAAACAGTCTTCAACTTTTTTCTTAGTTTTTTTTATTCTTGTAAGAAACAAGTCCCTTTAAAATTTTCAGTCGTCAGATTTTTTGGAAATTATTTTATTTCTTAACAATTAAAAATTAAACTTAAGATTTTATTTTTTCGTCTTCAATTTTGTTTGAAATAATTCAATTCATCTTAATTCCTCAAACTATAGCATTAATCTAAGCTGAGTTCTAGATGATAAACATAATTACACAAACTTACTGTTTCAATTAAGATTTTTTAAGGTCCCAAAGAAGATATCTTTCTAGTGGTATACAGGGGCATGCCAGTCCTTGCTTTTTCGAAATTATCTACAAGTTTTCAAAGTGTCTTATTTTTTTTTTGAAATTCAGGAAGATATTTCTAATGAAGATTCATTTTTTTAAATAATTTTAAGAAAGTAGAGCTCACCTGTTCAGCTGTTAGAGTAAACATAGTCTAAAGGTTTCTTTTTAATTGTTATAAAAAAATAACAAAAAATGTTGTCTAAAATTTTTAAAGAAACGTGTTTCTTAAGAGAAATAAAACAAAAAACAGAATAAAATTTCATAAAACAGCATATATATAATACTGAAGATAATAAAAACCACATGAATGCAAAAATAAAAAAAAGAACTACATCTAGTACTCTCTCAGTTAGGTAATTCAAGCCCAGGTCCAGACTGCATACACAATGTAACGATATAACAACTCTCAAACAGAGCACTAATTACCTATTATATGGAATAGACCTGTATTTCGAAATAAATCGAGTGAAACTATTGTGATTCCCATTTTAAAACCCAACAAAAGTATAAAGTTCTCCTCCCAACTATAGATCCACATCACTTATCTGCAATCTATGTAAAATCATGAAGAAAATTATGAATAGAAGAATTAAATGGAAGTATCTGGAGATACATAACATGTTATCACAATTTCAATTTGGTTTTAGAGAATCACATTCAACAATAGATTATTTAATAAATTTAGAAGAAGATATAAACAAAGGTTTTATAAAACCAGTCATGTAATTGCAGAGGAAGCCTATGACATAGTTTGGAAATCTGCTCAAGATAAATACATACTTTTGAATCATATGCTTTTGTTGTTTTCTTCCTAATCTTTATAATTTAATATTTTATTATAATTGTTGTAATTAGAATTTGCTGCAATGTTTTCTGCTAAGAGATATGGAATATGTGAGGGTTCAATATGGAATTTACCTTCAGCATCTTGTATTTTATCTATAGTGTCTATTTTTCAAACTTTGTTTTCTTTCATTTTGTTGAAGTGTGTATTTGTGGTGTTAATGATGATATAAAGTTGTTTTTTTAACTGGATTTCACCCTACACTCTTTTAATGTTTTTCTGGGTGGTGCTCTCTTCTTTTAGTTTGGAATTTTGTACTCTCAATCTGGGTCATTAAATGCATTCTTTTTGTACCGTCTCTGTGACCTCTTTGCTTCTAGTATAGCTTGAGAACACTCCTTGTTCCATCATATTACACATTTCTTTGGGGGAATAACAGAGGTTTTGGGGATTGCTTTGTTTGCTTTCAAAATGAAATCAGTAAATGCCTTCATGAGATCATTTACAGATATATTTGTGGGATCTGATGAGAGTGGCATCTCAGGAAGTGATTTTTCAATTTCTTCTTTGAACAATTTCCAATTTTCAAATATCTACCTACCTCGTAATGAAATACTGTTTTGGGTTGCAAATGCCTCAGCAATTCTAATTTTTATTTAGAAACAGTCGCTGTCATGTAAATCTTCCAGAGCATTCCATTCTAAGGATAGGGCAATTTCATTTAGTACTAGGGACAGATCGATATTCTTGCAAGTCCATTGCTGCTATTGAAGTGTGTAGGTTGATACGAGTTTAGGAGAATAAGGTAATCTTCCTTTTACAATCATTCTGCTATTACTACATTTCTTCCGTGGTCATTTATGTGAGATCCTCAGTTAATATGGTGGATATTAAAATCTCTTAACATAATAAATGGTTTTGGACGTTCATCAGACAAATTGTTTAAATTTTCCTGATTAAATATATAGCTATTTCGTAAATAGACATTACAAATTATCAATTTATAAATACATTTTTCCTGATAGCTGTATTGAATGCAATTTCTTGAAGGTATATAAGCTAAGGCAAATATTGCTACTCGCCCACTAGCTATTCTTGATTGATTTCTGTACCTGTAGAAGTTATAATATCCTCTGATCCGAGCACAGTGATTATTAGGAAAATTGTTTCTTGGAGGCATATACATATTGGATTAAATCTGTTTATTATTAACTTGATGTTTCCTAGTCATCTGTAGTATCAATTTTTCATTCCATTGTAATATATCCATTATTTATTTTTAGAATATAATTTTCTGTATTTTTATTACGGAAAAAGAGAACTAACCGAAGGTTGACTTGTTTCCTGGTTGTTGTTATTTCTCAATTGTTACGTTTTTTAAAAGTTGAGTACATTTCTTATTTTTATTTTTTGGTTCATTTTCCATAGAAAGTTTTGCACATCTTTATTAAGTCTTCAATTATATCTGTATATACTTCTTCTACTTGTTTTATATTTTCAATTCCTTTTGTTCTGTCCATCAGACTACTGAATTGGTCTATGTTAAAAGGGAAACCTGTCCCTAGATTGGTTGAATTTAGTTATTTTACAATTTCTTCCCACATTTGTTCTTCTGACTTGTCAGTGTTTTTGTTCTCTTCTTCTGTTGATATTGATAAAATTGAATGGACCGGAAAATAGAAAACTGTCTGCAATAGTTAGGTTGCCCAGCCGCAAGCTGGCGTACACAAGCTTAATGTGTCATTAAGGAGAATGAAAATTCGGACAAATCGAAGCCTACTGGCACAATGCAATTGTCGGAATGGGAAAGTATGTGGTCAGTCATGAAGATGATCTACTTATGAGACTGGTTTTTCAATTTCGTCAAAAGAGTGGGATTAGAGGCGTTGTAAGTAATAAACATTGCTATACGTTGGACTGTGAATTTTTTCATAAACATCATTGAACTCTCTGAATTTTCAAAAATTGAAAATATTAAAAATAATACAAGAAAGTATGTGCTGTTGAGCACCATTAGTTTAATTTCCGTAGTGGTTCAGCGAACTCATATTTCTGAGTAACTTTTCGACCTCAAATGTGAAGTGTTTACAATGCATTATTAAACATTATACTTTCGACTGTTATTTGCATACACGTATCTCTGCTAATGACGAAGGGCAGGACGTGGGTCGCACCGCCAAGGCATAGTACTGTAATTTTCATTGCACGTAACCGTTTCTGTGTTCTGAATAATGAACTTCGATTTATCATCTCGACATAGTGAAGGAATGGCTGATAGTTTGAAGTATTAAGATACCACATCAGCTTTTTCAAGGCATACTTGTTGGAGAGAAGGAAGGCGCGATGAAGCATGACTGCATCTTCTAACACAGCCGCATACCCTCCGACGGTGTAGCCTGACATCTGAACCATACGCTATCGTTCGTAACAGTGCAATTGAATAGTCTTACATACTTATGCAGAACGAATTACATTCATTACAGCGATTCACTTCGTATTCTTGTCGTCTATAATTATTTCTGTCAAAAAATCAAACGCGCTCACTATCATTATTAGGGAGGTTCATCGAGGTTCTCGATACATGATTTATAGCTCCAGAAGTCTACACGATCGCCCTTGTATTGACGACTATGAAAGCTTAGTCATTGGGCAATTTTAAATCT